AAATCTCTCCACCAACTAAGAACGGCCATGTACCATCACCCATAGAATCAAGAAAGAGCTCTCAATYTGTCAATCCTTGCTATGTCTGGATCTGGTGAGCTTTCCCGTGTTGAGTCAAATTAAGTCGCAGGCTCCAAGCCTCGTGGTGCCCTTCCACCAATTCCTTTAAGTTTCAGCCTTGCGACCACACTCGCCCCGGAACCCGTAAACTTTGATTTCTCACAAGGTGCTGGAAGAGTCATCCAATAGACATCCGCCAATCCCTAGTCGGCATCGTATATGGTTGAGACTAGGACAGTATCTGATCGTCTTCGATCCCCCAACTTTCGTTCTTGATTAATCAGAACGTCCTTGGCAAATGCTTTCGCCGAAGTTCGTCATCCATAAATCCAAGAATTTCACCTCTGACAATGGAATAYGAATGCCCCCAACCGTCTCTATTAATCATTACTCCAGTCCTGAAAACCAACGAAATAGGACCAGAGTCCTATCGCGTTATTCCATGCTAATATGTTCAGAGCACAGGYCTGCTTTGAACACTCTAATTTTTCCAAAGTAACAGCGCCAGCTTTGGATCCCAACCAATAAACGCAAGGCACGCATACCCGGCAAGAAAGGCGAAAGGGCCGGTACACGCCCRCAAGAGCGGACCAACCCCTCCCACCCAAAATCCAACTACAAGCTTTTTAACTACAACAACTTAAATATACGCTAATGGAGCTGGAATTACCGCGGCTGCTGGCAACAGACTTGCCCTCCAATGGATCCTCGTTCAAGGAGTTTATGACTGTTCTCATTCCAATTATCGGACTCGAAAGAGCCCAGTATTGTTATTTATTGTCACTACCTCCCTATGTCACGATTGGGTAATTTATGCGCCTGCTGCCTTCCTTGGATGTGGTAGCCGTCTCTCAAGCTCCCTCTCCGGAATCGAACCCTAATTCTCCGTCACCCGTTACCACCATGGTAGGCCTCTATCCTACCATCGAAAGTTGATAGGGCAGAAATTTGAATGGAACATCGCCGGCTCAAAGGCCATGCGATTCGACAAGTCATCATGATTCGCCGCAACAACAGGCAAGCCCGGATTGGCCTTTTATCCAATAAATACATCCCTTCCAGAAGTCGGGATATGCTGCACGTATTAGCTCTAGAATTACCACGGTTATCCGAGTGGTAAGGAGACCACCAAATAAATGATAACTGATTTAATGAGACATTCACAGTTTTTTTTTTTTTTTTTCCACAACACACACACGGCCCCATCTATTCTGGGGGGCATCAGTCCGGTTGCTAATCACCTTCAAGCAGAAAGATAAGGGAAAGAGGGAGAGAGTTTAACACAGAAGGCAAAAAGAGGAGAAGGGGGTATCCACCCAAGTCCCCCTCAAAAGGGAAAAGGGCGACCTGGGAGGCAGCGCCAACAGAAAGGAGTGAGCAAACTCACAACCATCAGTCCCTAACAGCGCCCCCACCGGGAGGCAAAACCGCGCCCAGTCGTGGAAGCACCACTAAGGTATAGAGCAATGCTAGGATCACTCCTTCCCACCTCACACCCCCCTAATGACTGCACCTATCGTAAGCTCAAGTACATATATGTGCACATGCTCATTATGTCACATTTCTATAAATCTCTGCTCCTGCTTATTTAAGGGAACCACTTGCTTTTTCCGATCACTCGTAGTGTTTCTGTAGTCCCAATTTTCTTGTCATGTATGATTCACCAACCCCCCCCCCCCCCCTACCCCAGCCTCACCCGAAAGACCCAACCAACCCAACGAAAACTAATAAATTAAAGAATTAAGAATTTAACCCCTTCCTCCCACGAGAGCACTCGCGACCACTCCCCAACCTGGTCTCCTACCGTGATAATCCCATGGTAAGGCTTTCAGGCCTTGACAAAAAAACAACAACCCCCCTTCTGTCTCTTGGCCACATCTGCGGAAACGGCTGTTCTCAGATTCCGCACCATCCATGCTCGCAGCGTCTGGAAAGATTGAGACACCCCTTGATGCAGCAGACGGGCCCTCATGGCCCATAATGCATCCCAAAAGGCCGCCCAAACCACATCCGCCGCGTAGGCCTCATGCACCCCTGTCACATCCCCTGCCAATAACACCCCTACCAAAACAGAGGAATTCCTCCTACTGGCCCCTGCCAGCGGGACCGCCTCTCCCAACGAATCCCACCATTCCCAGAAAAGTTTCTGTGGCGAGCACTCCACCCATATGTGAGGCAAAGACTCCTCATTCTTGCAGCCCCTAAACGCCCTATCCTTGTGTGAACACCTATCCGCCAGCCATTGTTAGGTGGGTTGTGCCAGGTGGAGACAAAGCCACAGACCTCCCGCGTGCTTTTGGTCTGGGAGGAAAGTCAGCACCTTACAGGCTTTTTGCCATGTGGGCGCGTCCTTGGATTGAAGAGCCCTCTGATCCAACCAACCCCTTTTCGCCCACCTCCCTCGCATCTCATCAACCATGTAGGTCGGGACAAGCAGGGTCCTGTAAATCACCTTCATGGACACCTGATGGATTCTTCAACACTTCCTGAGAGAGTTCTTGGGCGCCCACTCCCACGCCGAAGGGTCCCAGGGGAGTTGGAGTGGCTTAAGAGCAGGCTTAAAGGGGCGAACCCCCCCCCGCGTAGAGACTGACTGATCCCTTACCACCACAACCGATCTTATGTTGCTTTCATGGACCCTTCCATTCCGTTCCGGACGCCGAACAAGAGCCTCCCCCAACGCCTTATGTGGCCCAACGTCCTCCCAGGCCTCCGCCGTGTACCATTGGGATCCCACTTTCTCTTTTAACTGAAAAAAAACAATTGGCCGGTCCTGCCCTTCCAACGTCACCCATTACCCCTGTGTACGATCCTTGGATATAAGGCAGTCAACCCAACCCTGTGGAATCACCTGTTTAATCGCATCCAGCCTTTCTTTCTTCTTTGGCTGATGATCCAACTGTCGCAACACCTCACTCTCCTCCCTCCACGTACCCTTCCCCACATTCCAACCATTGCCTCCCAAAGGCACCCAAGCCGCCTTGCCATGGAAAAGGGGATCCCATCTAAAGTATGAACTGATTGCCAAACAAGGACTGCCCAAGGATCTGGTCACCAGTCCGCGGGGCCGACTGCCTCAGGGGGGCTTCACGCTACTTTTCCAGGGCGCATGACCACAGTGCCCCCCGACGGAGGCCATATAAGAGTTGAGGGTGAAGGAGGGCCGTTTCAACGTCCGCCGAATGCACCCTGATTGCTTCTGCCATCTGTTGTAGCATGACTACCTTCCAAGGTTCACATCATCTTCTAGAAGGAGCCACAAGACGGAGCGCATCTGTAGGGCAGCAACCTGCACTCGAGGGTCCAACAACCCCAGACACCCGGCCGACCTCGCCTGCACCAACTTCTCCCATCGCACCCTGTAGATAAGATGCGAGGTACAAGGGTCGTCCTTCCACCGAAACTTCCTAAGGACACCCTTGTAACCTTTGCACACCCTCCTAGGGGGATCCGATACCGCGCCCGCATACCACAGCGTCGCAGACACCGCCTTATTGGCCATGAGGACCTTTCCAAATACCCCGTGCGACGCACGTTTGGCCCAAGCTGACATTCGTGTCACTGCGCGATGGAGCAGATCTTCCAACTGATAACCTGAAGACATTGCCGCAGGGATCTGAATACCAAGGTACAAAAACTGTTCCTCAGTTGACTAGGTCCTCATGCCTTGGAACATTGCGACGTCAACCTCGTCCGGGACCACCGCCAGAGATTTCCTCCAATTCACTCATGCACCCGCGTATTTCTCGAACAGAGACACCTTACTACGCCGGGCCAAAACGCTCTCGTTCGTCAGACGGGACATTGCTGCAGTATCATCCGCGAACGCATTAGATTTCACTTGTTCTCCCCCCGGTAACTCAAAGCCCAAAATCTGATTATTCGCCCGGATCATCTCATGCAGGTGTTCGACATACAAGATGTATAGTGCGGGAGATAGAGGGCAACCCTGTCGTACAGAACGTGTGATCTTGAGAGGGGAAGATAACAACCCATTAATCTGAACTCTAGCTTCAACCATCCCTAATACCACTTCAACTGCCTTGACAAAGCCCTCCCCAACCCCTCTATGTCTCATGCCCTGCAGAAGGAAAGGCCACCTGACCCTATCGTAAGCCTTTTCGAAGTCCAAAAACAAAGTAACCAAGGGGGGCTGGGAACACCGAGCCCTTTCCATGATTTGCCGAACCAAGAGGACATTCACCAGAATCTGCCTACGAACTATGAACCCCGACTGTGTCGGGTGAATAAGAGATGGCAACACACGAGCCATTCTGTTAGCCAACACTTTCGCATACACTTTGTATGGTGCCGATAACAGAGAGATGGGCCTCCAATTCCTAACCTCCTCCACATTCCCTTTCTTGTACAAGAGAATGATCGTAGCCTGACCAAAATTGGCCGGAGGGACCTCCTCCCGTGAGAACAAGCGATTAAAGGCAGTGCACAAATAGGGGAGGAGGGTCCGCGTTGCAAACAACAGATATTCCGTCGGCAAACCATCCGGACCTGGTGCCTTACCCTTGTGCATCCCACCCATCGCCTCCACTATTTCCTCTTGGGTGATAGGCGCGTCCAGGGCCACCCTATGGTCCGGTGCGACAAAGGTGGCGCACTTAGTCCATACATCACTCGTTGGTAGGGAAGCCATGTCCTCAATGGACCTAGTCTCATCCTCGCGGTACAAATCACCATAAAAAAGTTCCACATATTTGAGGATATCTGAGGTGCTTTCCGCCCTAAGCTCCAGCGGGTCAAAGGGGTGTCCCATAGAAACAATCAAGGGAGAGTGGGAAGACTTCTTCATCTGGGCAAAGAAAGCCTTGGACATCCGCTCAGCATCTCCTACCCACTTAGTTTTGGATGTGAGCCCCCATAGTTCTGCATCCCGGGCCTGCCAATCTGCCCATTCCGAGTGCAGTTGAACCCACTCCGCTCACCACTCATCCTCCGAACCTGTCGGCGGCACCTCCCCCAAAGCTTCCATCCGATAGAGGTACTCCTGTCCTGTACGGTCATGCGCCTGCATGGACACCTTGGCTCTTCTTTTCATCTTCGCAGCCAAAACCCGGACCCCCTGCTGAAGGTGCTCCAAGAACGAAGTCCGTTCCGACCGTGCTGCGAGCCAAAGCTCCCATTGCTGCACCACAAGCTCTTTTCCAAGTGATTCAGACAGCAACCACACCGGGACCGTCATCGGAGGAGGTCTTCTAACCACCCGGGGATGCAGTGCGAGCGAGGTTATGATGAACTTGTGGTCCGAAATCGGAACCAGCTGCTGATCAAAGTTATGGAGGTTTGGCAACAGATCGGAGGAAACCCAGGCCATGTCGAGCCTGCTGCGAAGGAGGGGTGAAGTCCCGAACCAAGTGCAGCTTTTCTCCTCAAGGCTAAATCTGCGAAAGGCATCCACTAAGGCCATGTCGGCCATTAACCCACACAATGCATCTGCATCCGGCTTCGGATCCCCTGCCACCAACGAGTCCCTACCCGGGCGGATCACCGTGTTAAAATCCCCTATCACGATCATATTGTCCGAGTCAGGGAGACAGGCCGCAAAATTCCTCCAAAACCATTTTCGGTCTGTGACGTCCACCAGAGCATACACGGTCACAATCAACAATCTCTTCCCCCCTTCCTCAATATACACCCATGCCCACCTCCCCATCGTATCCCAAAAGAAATCCAACACCTTACCAGTAAAAAACCTTGTCAAGATCATAGCCACCCCTCCTCTGGTCCCTTCAGCCGGAGCCCATAGTTGGAAAGTACCTCCAAACCCAAACTCCAGAGGCAGGCGTCCAACATTCCCCCTTCTCCTTGCTATCGGACTGTCCTCGTCCACCCTCGGGAATCTTATGACTCCAACCTGATTGACCTCTCTAAACTTCCTAGGCGGCTCATCCTCCTCAGATGTCGAAGAACCCCGCACCACCTGCTGCTTACCTCTGTCCCCGACCCCACCCGTAGCATGAGACCTCCCCTTCCTCCCCCTCTTGCGAGCACGCGAACGCTTCCTACTTGTCGGGCCTTCCCCGGACTCCTCCTGCAACCTGCCGCCGGCTCTTGGGCCATCCTGCATAGGCACATCAGCAGCCATAGGAGCGGAAAAAGACTCTTCCTCAAGCCACCCCCCGGTGGGCAGTTGAGACGATGGACCCGCTCCGGCACACGGGCCACCCTGTATAGGCCCCTCAGCAGCCATGGCCACAGAGGCACATACATCCCTGTCCCTCACAGGGGAGGGGGGACAGCCCCGAATAGCACTTCTCAGTCGAGACGATGGACCCGCCCCGACACACGAGCCACCCACTACAGGCCCATCAGCCGCCATGGCCATGGAGGCAAACACATCCCTGTCCCTCACAGGGGAGGGGGGACAGCCCCGAATAGCACTTCTCACTTGAGCCGATGGTCGAGACAGAGAAGTAGGAGGAGGCTCTTCCACCAGCCACCCCCCCACATGCAATCGAGACGATGGGCCCGCACCTTCCAATAACCACCCACCATCAGTGGGTCTTTGAAAACTAAGGGAGTGTCATGCCTCAATGTTGACCCTGGAAATCGAGAAGGAGGCCGTACGATGAATCACTGATAGATGGGACGGGCCCGGTTGACCAATCGGTGGAGGACCTTGCGAGACTGGCGGGAAGATTGATGCCTTTACAACGGGCGCTGCTTGTACCGACGTGACCATCACAAAGGATGCCGACGGTTGAGGCTGGATGAGCTGATGAGAGGATGAGGCACCCACCTCTTGCAATTGCTGCTCTCCATCATTCTCAACAACACCACCAACATGTCTCACCCCTGCATGATGTGCATCCTCCCCAACCCCAATCTGGTGCAGAACATGAGCCTGCGGTCGACCAATCGGCGCTGGACGTTGGAAGACAGCGGGAGTAACCGCTGCAATATGGATTGTTGGTGACGAGGTGACAATGACACCCAGAGCCGATGGTGGAGACTAGGTGACCTGCTGAGAGGGTAAAACATCCTCCCCCTGATATTGCTGCTCCTCAATTCTTCCACCGACACCATCAACACAGCCGCCACCATCATGGCACCCAGCCACCCCATCCCCAACCTGCTGCTCAACATGATCCTGCGCATGGGCAGACGGCGGCGTACCTTGTGCGACCACAGCATACCACCCACCAAACCCATCCTCGTTCTGCTGGGCAACATGGACCTGCTGGAGATCCAGCGCGGCCCTCTCAACCCGGCAATCCTCCATCGGTCGGCCACCCACCCCGCCCTGCTGCTGATCCAAAACACTAGCCGCTTCCACTACCGGCACCAGAGGTGCATCTTGCATAATGACATCATTCTCCCTCGGAGGTCGCTTCTGCTCTCCTCCCTCTGATGACCGTTTACCTTCCTCCTGCACCACCAAGAGAGGTTCCTTTCCCATCCGTCGCTTCGGAGGGAGATCCCCCATAGTCTGATCTGGCTGGGGGGAAGCCAAAGGCGCGTCACTCTCAGAGTGACTCCGTGAAGCTGAACGCTCTGGCCAAGTTGGTACCCCTACCCTCCTGAGTCAGTAGCCCCCCTACGCAATCGACCCCTCAGGGGTGGTAAGAAACGCACATCCACCAATCCACCAACATCCCCCAAACTCTCATCAGCAATGATCTCCGCACGGACCGCACCAATGGACACATCAGCCTTCTTTTCAAAGAGAATCCAAGCCTCAACCTCTTCTGCAGCGTTGACCGAACGAGCCGGGTGCTGCTGTATGTGGAGCTCTCTTCGTCGGATCTCTTCCCTCGTCTCACCAGGTGTCAAACAGCGAGCCGCGCTGGCCAAGTGGCCATGCTTACGACACAGGTCACACCAAGGCGTCTAGCTCGTTATGTACCGATTCTCATCAGGCGCTCCAGCCGTGTCTGCCTCAGAGGTGGGCAGAAGTCAAAACGAACCATGCCCCTACCATTCTCATCATAGAGCGACTGGCCGCGCTCATCCTTCAGCTGACCGAACAGCTGCCGCGCGGCTGATCACAAGTGCAATCGTGCCAATGGCGGAGGGTGAAGAAACTTTGACCCACGGATTTGTCCTTCTTTCCACCAGACGATCCCATTCCATATCCACAGGCGTCTTCCAACCTGCGAACGAGACACGAAGGCGTACAGAATCCACAATGATGTCCTCCCCCATCCTTACGTTAATCAACCAATTGCACAAAAGTGCCGTGGGGGCCCAATAGAAAACTAGGGCAGGGCCTTCAATGGACATGAAGCCCGGGAAGCTTCCTCTATCGAGGGGCGGCCACGCGACTTCCCACTTCTTTACTGCCTCGAACTTCATTGTGGCCGAGAACTCCTGGGTTCGCCCTTCGAACTGCATAACCACGACATGCGCTCTCATGTTCGTGGCCTGCACATGCGCCGCTTTGTCACCGACATTCAGGCATATATCATCACCCTCTTGTGCATGCGAAGCCGCAAGGTCATCAAAGAAGGAGTTCGTCAGAATAGCTTTCCGAAACCTTCTCATCAAATCCCACTCCGAACCGCGCCCCCCTTCTTCTGCTGCCAAGGCTTCCACGCACTCCCCCGCAACCACGAACCAAAGACCGACGGGTTGACATCGCAGTCAAACTAACCCGCCATCGGGACGCCCATCCTACATGCAACTGTATCGTCAAGAAACCCTCCCCCCTTAATTCCTTGTCTCCCTTACGGACGACAAGACTGTCCCAGCCATCCCACTGCCGCTTCGGCCGAAGTGCCGAGCACGCGGCCCATCCAACGTGCTGCTTCGCCACAAAACTCACCATCCCTAACCCCTTGCCTTTCCTTTGGCCGACAAGACCGACCCAGCCGCCCGCTCTTCAGTCGACATGACACGTACGTAGCCCTTTCAACGACCGTACCGACAAACGTAGACCAAGGCACCCCTGCCACCATCGCACTACTCTCTAACCGACATGCCCCTTTGACGAAGAGAAGCGCCTCCTCGACGAAGATCCCAGCGCTATCCGCGGACGTGCGCTAGCGCTAGCGCAGCTCCACAGTCGCCAAAAAGTTGCCATGCGCAGTTTTTTTTTTTTTTTTTTTTTTTTTTTTTAACACAAACACGGCCCCATCTATTCTGGGGGATATCAGTCCCGTTGCTAATCACCAGCAAGCGGAAAGACAAGGGAAAGAGGGAAAGAGCTGAACACAGAAGGCAAAAGAGGAGAAGGGGGTATCCACCCAAGCCCCCCTCAAAAGGAAAAAGGGCGACCTGGAAGGCAGCGCCAGCAGAAAGGAGTGACCAAACTCACAACCAGCAGTCCCTAACAGCGCCCCCACCGGGAGGCAAAACCGCACCCAGTCGTGGAAGCACCACTAAGGTAGAGAGCAATGCTAGGATCACTCCGTCCCACCTCACACCCCCCTAATGACTGCACCTATCCTAAGCTCAAGTACATATATGTGCACATACTCATTATCTCCAATTTCGGTAAATCTCTGCTCCTGCTTATCTAAGGAAACCACTTGCTTTTTTCTGATCACTCGTACTGTTTCTGTAGTCCCAATTTTCTTGTCATGCATGATACACACCCCCCCCCCCCCCCCCCCACCTTACCCCAGCCTCACCCGAAAGACCCAACCAACCCAACGAAAACTAATAAATTAAAGAATTAAGAATTTAACCCCCTTCCTCCCACGAGAGCACCCACGACCACTCCCCAACCTGGTCCCCTACCGTAATAATCCCACGGTAAGGCTTCCAGGCTTTGACAAAAAAACAACAACCCCCCTTCCGTCGCTTGGCCACATCTGCGAAAACGGTTGTTCTCAAATTCCGCACCATCCATGCTCGCAGCGTCTGGAAAGATGGAGTCACCCCTTCACGCAGCAGACGGGCCCTCATGGCCCATACTGCAGCCCAAAAGGCCGCCCGAACCACATCCGCCGCGTAGGCCTCGCGCACCCCTGTCACATCCCCTGCCAATAACACCCCTACCAAAACAGAGGAATTCCTCCTATTGGTCCCTGCCAGCGGGACCGCCTCTCCCAACGAATCCCACCATTCCCAGAAGAGTTTCTGCGGCGAGCACTCCACCCATATGTGAGGCAAAGACTCCTCATTCTGGCAGTCCCTACACGCCCTGTCCTTGTGCGAATACCTATCCGCCAGCCATTGGTAGGTGGGCTGTGCCAGGTGGAGACAAAGCCACATACCTCCTGCGTGTTTTTGGTCCGGGAGGAAAGTCAGCACCATACAGACTTTCTGCCATGTGGGCGCGTCCCAAGAATGAAGAGCCCTCTGATCCAACCAACCCCTTTTCACCCACCTCCCTCGCATCTCATCAACCATGTCTGTCGGCACAAGCAGGGTCCTGTAAATCACCTCCGTGGACACCTGTTGCATTCTGCAACACTTCCTGAGAGAGTTTTTGGGCGCCCACTCCCACGCCGAAGGGTCCCAGGGGAGTTGGAGCGGCTTTAGAGCGGGCTTAAAGGGCGAAAAGCCCCCCCCGTAGAGACTCACTGATCCCTTACCACCACAACCGACCTTACGTTGCTTTCATGGACCCTGCCATCCCGTCCCGGACGCCGAACAAGAGCCTTCCCCAAAGCCTTTTGTGGCCCAACGTCCTCCCAGGCCTCCGCCGTGTACCACTAGGATCCCACTTTCTCTTTTAACTGAAAAAAAACAACCGGCCGGTCCTGCCCTTCCAACGTCACCCATTCCCCCTGTGTACGATCCTTGGATATGAGGCAGTCAACCCAATCCTGCGGAATCGCCTGTTTAATTGCATCCAGCCTTTCTTTCTTCTTTGGCTGATGATCCAACTGTCGCAACACCTCACTCTCCTCCCTCCATGTACCCTTCTGCACGTCCCAGATGTCAACGAGCCGGTGCACCCCACATTCCAACCATTGCCTCCCAAAGGCGCCCAAGCCGCCTTGCCATGGAAAGGGGGCTCCCATCTGCAGTATGAACTGATTACCAAACAAGGACTGACCAAGGATCTGGTCACCGGTCCGCGGGGCCGACTACTTCAGGGGAGCTTCACGCCAATTTTTCAGGGCACATAACCACAGTGCCCCCCGATGGAGGCCATATAAGAGTTGAGGGTGAAGGAGGGCCGTTTCAACGTCCGTCGGATGCACCCTGATTCCTTCCGCCATCTCTTGTAGCGTGACTATCTTCCAGGGCTCCGCATCATCTTCTAGAAGGAGCCACAAGATGGAGCGCATCTTTAGGGCAGCGACCTGCACTCGAGGGTCCAGCAACCCCAGATCCCCGGCCGATCTCGGCTGCACCAACTTCTCCCATCGCACCGTGTAGATAAGATGTGAGGTACAAGGGTCGTCCTTCCACAGAAACTTCCTAAGGGCGCCCTTGTAACCTTTCCACGCCCTCGTAGGGGGATCCGATACCGCGCCCGCATACCATAGCGTCGCAGACACCGCATTATTAGCAATGAGGACCTTTCCAAATACCCCGTGCGACGCGCGTTTGGCCCAAGCCGACATTCGTGTCACTGCGCGATGGAGCAGATCTTCCAACTGATAACCTGAAGACAATGCCGCAGGGATCTGAATACCCAGGTACAGAAACTGTTCCTCAGTTGACTGGATCCTCATGCCTTGAAACATTGTGACGTCAACCCCGTCCGGGACAACCGCCACAGATTTTCCCCAATTCACTCGTGCACCCGCATATTTCTCGAACAGAGACACCTTACTACGCAGGGCCGAAACGCTTTCGTTTGTCAAACGGGACATTGCCGCAGTATCATCCGCGAACGCATTCGATTTCACCTTTTCTCCCCCCGGTAACTCAAAACCCAGAATCTGATCATTCGCCCGGATCATCTCATGCAAGTGTTCGACATACAAGATGTATAGTGCGGGAGAGAGGGGGCAACCCTGCCGTACAGAACGTCTGATCTTGAGAGGGGAAAATAACAAACCATTAATCTGAACTCTAGCTTCAGCCATCCCCAATACTACTTCAACTGCCTTGACAAAGCCCTCCCCCACCCCTCTATGTCTCATGCCCTGCAGAAGGGAAGGCCACTTGACCCTATCATAAGCCTTTTCGAAGTCCAAAAACAAAGTAACCAAGGGGGGCTGGGAACACCGAGCCCTCTCCATGATTTGCCGAACCAAGAGGACATTCACCAGAATCTGCCTTCGAACTATAAACCCTGTCTGTGTCGGGTGAATAAGAGATGGCAACACACGAGCGATTCTGTTAGCCAACACTTTCGCATATACTTTGTATGGTGCCGATAACAGAGAGATGGGCCTCCAATTCCTAACCTCCTCCACATTCCCTTTCTTGTACAAGAGAATAATCGTAGCCTAACCAAAATTGGCCGGAGGGGCCTCCTCCCCTGAGAACAAGCGATTAAAGGCAATGCACAAATAGGGGAGGAGGGTCCTCGCTGCAACCAACAGATATTCCGTCGGCAAACCATCCGGACCTGGTGCCTTACCCTTGTGCATCCCACCCATCGCCTCCGCTATTTCCTCTTGGGTGATAGGTGCGTCCAGGGCCGCCCTAAGGTCCGGTGCGACAAAGGTGGCGCACTTAGTCCATACATCACTCATTGGTAGGGAAGCCATGTCCTCAATGGACCAAGTCTCATCCTCGCGGTACAAATCCCCATAAAAAAGTTTCACATATTTGAGGATATATGAGGAGCTTTCCGCCCTAGGCTCCAGCGGGTCAAAGGGGTGCCCCATAGAAACAATCGAGGGAGACTGGGAAGACTTCTTCATCTGGGCAAAGAAAGCCTTGGACATCCGCTCAGCATCTCGTACCCACTTAGTTTTGGACGCGAGCCCCCATAGTTCCGCATTCCGGGCCTGCCAATCTGCCCATTCCGAGTGCAGCTGGACCCACTCCGCCCACCACTCATCTTCCGAACCTGACGACGGCACCTCCCCCAAAGCTTCCATCCGATGGAGGTATTCTTGTCCTGTACGATCATGCGCCTGCATGGACACCTTGGCTCTTCTTTTCATGTTCGCAGCCAAAAACCCCACCCCCTGCTGAAGGTGCTCTAAGAACGGCGTTCGTTCCGGCCGTGCTGCAAGCCAGAGCTCCTAGTGCTGCACCACGAGGTCTTTGCCGAGTGATTCAGACAGCAACCACACCGGGGTCGTCATCGGAGGAGGTCTTCTAACCACCTGGGGATGCAGTGCGAGCGAGGCTATGATGAACTTGTGATCCGGAATCGGAACCAGCTGCTGATCAAAGCCCTGAAGGTTTGGCAACAGATCGGAGGAAACCCTGGCCATGTCGAGCCTGCTGCGAAGGAGGGGTGAAGTCCCGGACCAAGTGAAAGTTTTCTCCTCATGGCTAAATCTGCGAAAGGCATCCACCAAGGCCATGTCGGCCATTAACCCACACAATGCATCTGCATCCGGCTTTGGATCCCCTGCCACCAACGGACTTGGATCTCACTGAACGTTGACCCAACCCTCTAACATTCAAGGACCCCACCCTAAACATGAATACCAATACAAGTGAATTGACAGGGGTGACACTACCTCTTAACTACAGCCATTCAGTGAACACAAACCACACGACATCTTGCCACCCGGACGATACGACAGTAAACGCCTACTCCCCCAGGACCGGTCCGAGCGCGACACCCGCGAAGAGACCCTCGGCCTTCTACGCGGAACCACCGGACCACTCTGCCTTCTGGATGGCCCTGTCTGACCCGTGGCCTGTGAGGCCGTCCCGGAGGCAGCCCCCCGGGGCGGCTGCACTCTCCGCTGCGGGCCATACAACCACTCCTCAATACAATACCAGAACCTGGTGCTCGAAAATCGCTTAGCCACCGGCATACGCCTATCAAGGTCCGTAAGAATCCCCAAGGGGGCTGACATAGCAGTAACCACCGCGTGCTCCTCCGCCTCCGCGAAGTCCAGTACCAGCGCAAGATTCTTCCACCTGAAAGTGGGGGCGAACGGGACATTGTCTCGCGACTGCTCAAATTTGGCCCTCACGAAAAAACATTATAAACCCACCGAGAAACCATGACTAGTGGGTGACAACAAGCGAATGGCCGAGATTCCAGGGGCCATGGCCAACTCAGCTGAGGAGCCCAACCACTCCTGAGCCACCGTCAGGGCGCGTTGCTGATTCGGCATAGCGGAGAGGGCAACCATCAGAAAACGAGCATTATGAACTCCCGACGAGGCCAAAACAGTAAGGACATGCATAACCGACGCACTCTCCATAAAAACCAGCGGCATTAAGTACAACCTTCCTTCTGAAAGCATATCCTCCAGCTCCCCATCCAGCAACTGCATGTGCAATCTACCATTGAACGGGTCCCCCTCCCTCGGATCCTGATTCCTTCCTCCCGTACGCGGCTCCGAATCCTCCTCCAGATCCTCCTCGTGTGCACCTCGCAATGGGTCTGGAGACGACAGTCTCACTCGGCCCTGAGGGGGA